AGAGATTGAGATGCCACCGCCCGTTGTGTGGGCTAGCTATAAGAGATTGAGATGCTAGACTCGTTTATCCAAGTGCTACCTAGGCCAGGCCAGTGGCGGATCTAGGAATTTTTTTTATTGGGGGCACATGACATTTGGTCGGCACAACCGTATAAATATACATGGTAAAAAATAAGTGAAATTGCTTAATAATAAAAAAGAATATATTCAGTATGTAATTAAACTTTTGAAAATAACTGATATTAGACTAAACATAACAAATACTCCTTCACCCCAAATTAAGATTCCCATTAATTAATTTTTTTTAGGGTTAAAATTATGGATTAAACTATTTTGGCCATAAAATTTGAAAAAAAAATCTTTTGAATAATATAATAGCATTTGATTTGTCTTGAGATAAAATTTTGAAACGTCACATTTTTATTAAAAAATTTAGGTCTAAATATCAAATACTCCTTCACCTCACATTTTTATCACATACTCCGTATATATTAATAGTCAAATATCACATTAGAGGATGTTAAAAGTTAAATGAGAATAATATTTTAGGACGGAAGTAGTAAACCAAATAATACTTTCATGTTTTTATATGTAAATATGAACTACAATGTCAATAGTATCAATATATAAGAGATAAAAATTGTGAAATGTCAATTTATAATATTTTATTTTATATATAAAAATAAATAAAACTTATTTGCGCATAGAGTATGATATATTTCATACTCTGTATAAAATTATAAAAGCACATTTTATAGTTATACTTATCAAGTTGGGAGAATAAATCTCTTAAAATTTTTAATGGGGGCACGTTAATTTTTGTACTGGGGCAGCCCTCAACAAAACCATTTTTTTAATTTCATTTTAAACTAAGTAGTGTAAAAATTTAACAAATGACTGGGGGCCATTGCCCCCCTATATATAAGGTAGATCCGCCAGTGGGCCAGGCTAGTTACCACTTGCGAGAGAGTGTTGGAGTTCCCACATCGGAAAATAAAGATGAGTATCACTAGCATATATAGAACGTTGAAGCCACCTATCAGCTTAACCTTTTGGGTTAGAATCGTGGATCCCGACTTTATATGCAAGTGGTTAATTTGACCCGACACTCTATCCATTATTTTCGGCCCACCGGAATTTTAACATTATACATGCTGAAGGAAGAAATTTAGCCATTGACCTCACTGCACCCTGCAAATTGCAACTCCAAAGTCGTGATGTTTTGAAGGTCAAATTGAAAAAGGTGCGAGGTGTTCTAGGGCAGACCAGGCAATATAGAAGGTTTTACCAGGATAGAAAGTATATATGAATAATTAATTTTAGATTAAGTAGCGTAGGTATCTATAATTCATTAATTCTATACTCCTTTGTCCCAAGATATTTGCCACATTATATACTCTCTCCGTCCTTGAAAACTTTTCTCCTTTCTTTTTTCATCTGTCCCAAAAAACACTTCTCATTTTTATTAAAAAGTCACTTTTACCCCTTACTTTTAAATACCCTACCTATCATATCATACCTTTTTACTAATAAAATATCCATCAAATCATATTTTTATTCATCACATCAAAGGACATTTTTGGAAATTCAATACTAAAATATACTCCCTTTAAATCCTTCTTCAAAATCAAAACTCCCATGTTTTCTGGGACGGAGGGAGTGAAAAATAGTGCAATTTTAAGTTTTTCCAAATCATCTTATTTAAAGATTCGTATAAAAAAATAAAATTTACATATTTTAAAAAAAATCGGATACTCCTCCATCCCAAAATATTTGCCACATTATGTAAAAAGAAGTGGAATTTTAGGATTTTCCAAATCATTTTATTCAAAGATTGGTATAAAAATAAAAATAAAATTTACATATTTAAAAAAAGTCAAAACAAGAAGTTTGAAAAATATTTTATTTTATCAAATAATCAGAGAAAATGTACAAATAAATAAAAAATTTCAAGACTTTTGAATAATAAAAAATGTGGCAGCCTTTTTGCAATGGAGGGAGTATCATATTATGATATCAAATCTTAAAAAACCACCATATATGAAAATTCAAACATGCTAGAGTTATACTGAAGAATGTATCCCAAAGTATATATCAAAAGTATGCACCAACTTTTTATTATTCATATTGATATAATTGATATAGTGTGATAAAAATATTTTACACTAGTATTCTGTAACTTTATGAATTATCACACTGATATCACACAAACACAAAATAAAGATACACACGTGGTGTATAATTTAAGGTGCAATTTTTGAGGTAAAAGTACACTCATTGTTATTAATCTACAAATTAATATTTAATTTATCTCTTTTCAATTACTTGGCCATATAAAGAACTCTCGGAGATGGAACTCTTTTTTTCTTAAAAAGCATTTGATGCAAAAGAAACGGGTAAAAAACAAAACACAAAAGTAAAAAAAAAAAGATAAAGTCAGAACCACGTGATGGGAGTTCGTGATGGAACCCGTACGTAGCAATTTCTGCATTATACCTACCCACAAACCTCGTAGCACAGCATTTTATGCCCTCATTTGTCAGAATCTTTGATTTCTTTATCTCCCCTACTTATTTTGGGGCTACGATTTGTCTTGAGTGTGCAATCCGGAGCCCAAATTAAATACGGAGTAATCAATCTAATCATTTTGAAAAAAATTACAATTTCTAATTAAGAAGTAAAATCTTAAATTCTTAAAAATTACTTCCTCCGTCTGGAAATATTCTTCCCGTGTTGACTTGGCACGTTTATTAATGAATAGTAAAAAAATGCAAAATTTTCAAAAATACACATACTATAAATTTTTAATTCTCCTTTTCTTATTAAAAAAGTACTATAAAAGTATATTAGTAATAAAATAGAAGGGTGTTATTGAAATTTATCCTTAAAAAGTATACTAAAAAAAGAAATGGGAAGAATATTTCTGGATGGACCAAAAAGGAAAATGGGAAGAATATTTCCGGACGGAGGAAGTAGTATATTAACACATGTCATGTATGGAAAACAATAACATTTTGTCAATTCTAATTTTTTTAATATTTTAAGATTATGTTATTTTAGATTCTAACTATTAGGATCAGTAAGGTTAAAAGAAAAATACTTTTTCAAAAAATTTCAATTTTACTTTCATATATATGTTGTTAGGTTGTGATGGACAAGAACTTCACCAAATAATTTGACTTGAAAAACGGATCGTAAGAATAATCAAGAAACGAGAATTCGAGAAATATCGAAATATGTGCTAGGTTTTGCTTGAGGTTTCCCGTTCGGGTCCTTATTTATACATGTCATCTACATACATCAACAACAACCCAGTTAAATCCCACAAGAGTAGGATCTGGGGAGGGTGTGTGTACGCAAACCTTAACCCTACTCGAAAGTAGAGAGGCTGTTTCCAAAGAGACCTCCGGCTCAACGTCAAAAGTTGCATTGCTTGACTAGCTGCTACTTCAGTAATTAAAGAAGCGCAGACAGTTTAGATATTCATTTTGATTTATTCCATCACACCCCAAAGCAAAAAAATGGTGAAATTTTGGCTCCATCGGAGATGATGGAAAAATGTCCTCTACATAATTTAGGTAATTTAAAGTTTATGGGAACTAATCTCGAGATTCGCGCGATCCCTTTCCTTCGGCTACTTTTCTGCAACCTAGCCGCGTCTCTTTCCCAACTATGGATTTCCCAAGCTGCTCTAGTTCGGGTCAGCTAAGGCTGAAGCCTTTGGGCAAGCCCAGGGTCGATACCACACGCCCATGGATACCCGAACGCCTTTTAAGCACAGGGTTTGGACCGCCTATCAAGTATCAGCCCATCACAATTCCCCCAACTCCTCATTCCTTAGGCGGGCCACGTCGAAGGATGGGGAGTTATCGAGGTCCACATGTGCCTCCTCCCAATGGATCCAAGCCGTCCCTTGATATCCGTGTGACGGTTGACTCGATTGTCCCTAAAAGCAATCATAACCTGCTTCTTCACCTTCCACTCTACTCTGATAAAACCGCCGCTATATGCCATTTCCATCCCTACCTTTGCATGTTCGCTCTTTCGTTGTACCCCGATCTGTTTTCTTCATCTCTAGGTCAATTCTTCATTCACCATCATGTGGATTTCGGATTCAGATTTTCCTTCACCGTATTTTAGTTCCCTTCAGGCCGATCAACTGGCCCTTCTGGCCAAGATTAGAGCCCACCTAGTTCGCCTTAGCCGTCATCAGCGGCCGCAATCGGCCAGAAACGGCGCCTACTGAGGAAACATGTCTCTCCTCCAGCCCTTGTGTTATGGGTCCCTAGGGTTGAGTTGGAGGAGAACATTATGGCCCTATGCCATTGTCAGATTTCGGACCAAGGGTTCACCAATGCCACTGGTATTGTCGACCTCTCCATTAAGGTCTGACGACCCTGCAAGAACAAAACCGCCCTAGACGCTCCTCCGGAGTTCTTCACCGTCCATCTGGCCTTCTTGAAGAGAGGGTTTCGGTTTCCCTTTCACCCTCTGTTGGTGTAGTTCCTCAACAAAGTGGATCTCCTCCCTTTCCAGCTAGTCCCAAATTCTCTCTGGTACATTGCGAGCTACTTGGTCAAATGCTAAGAGGCCAAGGTGACCCCAGCCTAGACTATTTCTTGTTCACCTTCAAGCTTGTCAGGGGCCACAAGGACTGGACCTCTTACGTTTGTCTCTCCCAACGGTCGAGCAAGCTCTTCACCAGTGACAAGAAGGGGTCTACCAAAGATTGGAAGCCTTTTTTTGTCTTTGTCTCTACAGGGCCTGAATCTCCTTTTACTGGTTCAGGGCACCCCTTGTTTCGTGGCGTCGCACCGCTGCCGGCAACGACCAAGCTCTTGGCTAACAAAAAAAGCTCTACCACTAGGGGGCGTCGAGATTATATTAGTGGTCACCGAGGAGTTCCTCGCCAAGCTCGGGTTCGAGTTCGTCAGGGACGATCATCGTCACCAATGAGCCTTGCTGAGGGATCTCCCCAGGAGAAATGCTGATTCTGGTCCCTTTAGTAAGTACTCCCTCCCCTTGTCTAAGTACTCCTCTCGGTTATATTTATGGCATGCTAACCGCCTTGCATGTTTCAATTGAGCAAGAGGAGAGTCAGAGGACAATATGGACCACCAGCTGATGCTACACCGCCTCATGGGAAAGAGGAAGAGAAAGAGGGACGTAGCCCCCCAAGGCGACGAGCAGCGTACATCCTCTAGCCACGATGATCGCTTCTTGCTTGATCCGGTGGTGATTGACCTTGAGGATCAAAGAGATCGGGCTAATGCGGCGGAGACGGGGGTGATGGTGGTTAGCTCCCCATTGCGCACAATGGCTCCCAAGAACAATCTACCAGGAGCGACCAGGGATGCATCTTCGGAGCGACATTCCCTTTCGCCTACCTTGACGTTTGAGGTGGAGACCAAGGGTGGCTCGACGAAGTTCAGCATCCCCGCATGTCCCTCTCCGGGCTTGGAGGAGTTTCCGGTGGAGACGACGATCATGCTCCCCTCCAACGACCAGGCCCACATTTCTGCCAGCTCCAGTCGTGACCTAGCTGAGATGGTTCTCCTGAAGTTCGGCCTGGTACCCACTTTGGCCATATTTTTCTCTTTTAATTTATTATTATTATGTCTTGTCATTTTTAACCCTCATGCCTTAAGCCTCCCTCGGGATACTCAAGCTCGCTCGCCGGGTGGACATTCACCAGTCCACTTTGGATAAGGTGAAAGAGGCGGTCGAAGTCGAGAAGAAGGGACTAAGGGACAAGGTCGCCCGCCTTGCGAAGGGGCTATTGGAGGAAAGGAGTCACAGCTCCAACGTAGAGAGGGAAAATCACGGCGTGCAAGGTCGCTCTGCTTAGTTAGAGGAGGAGAAAACCTCACTATCTTCAAAGGTGGGGTCCATCTCTGCCCTGGTGGTCGAGCTAGATGAAGAGAGGATCGACTTGGTCCGTCGATTGGAGGCCGAGAAGAGCAACTTGGCCCGTTGCTTGGAGGAGGCAGTTGAGACCTTCAAGACTTCTCCGGAGTTTGCTGCGACTGCCATGGAGTGGATGGGTGGAGACCAAGCCCGGGGGAGACTGGTGGATTAGGCAAGCGGAGGCCTCTTTCTGGTTTGGGCTCTTCTAGGCCCAACAGGTCTTTCGTTGGAAGCTGGCCCTGCTCCCCAAAGGAACATCCCTCCGTGATTTCCGCCTTCCTCCTCCTTGTGACAACCTTGTTGAGTTTGATCCCACTCCCTACATGAAGGAGGAGGATTCTGACGACCTTGAGGGAGGGAACGAGAAGACTGCCCTGGCGACCAAGGCGACCAGGGCGAGGAAGCCATTTTAGCAGCGAGTAAGGCAGGCAAAGGCACCAGCTCCAGCGCATGATCGGCTTCCCCTTTCCTCGTTACTTATATTTTTTATTTGAATCCTTGTAAAAACTTTCGAGCACTTATACATATTTTTTGTTTCCATGTAAATCTTGACTTGTTCTTTTAATACTCGATTGCTGCTTAGGCTTACTTTATTTCTTAGATTGCGAATGATCCCTCTTGGATATAGGTGGTCAGCTCATCAATCCAATCTGGCTCCTTAACTGTTATGGCCAAGACTTTTCCGGGGCTAATGCTTGGCTCTAATAACTCCTCTTCTTCCTTCATTGCCTTGATATGCCATGGGGAATCCGGGCCGAGTTTAGAGAGGTTATCTAACTAAGTATTTTCCTCACAGGGGACTTGATCCATTTGGTACGCTCTGAAGGCCATAAGTAGGTCCAATGCAGCGTCCCGATATTTCTTCATCCGCTCATCTTTGGCTTCAAACTCCCTAGTGATGTGGCTGACCACCAACTTCGATTCACACCTAACCTGAATTCGATCAGCCTTCTGGGAGGCTGCAAGCCTCAATCCGCATAGAATGCCTCATATTCTGCTTCATTGTTTGACAGCTTAAATCAAAACCTTATCGATTAGTATGCCTTGAACACTTCCAGAGATATCTCCACGACTCTGCCCCCCGAAGCATCAGTCGTGGACGATCTATCAGTATAGACGATCCTCCAAATCATGTCTTGTCATTCTTCTTCACTCGCAATCGCTGTTTCATCCCTCATCGTGCACTCCACTACAAAGTCTGCCAATGTCTACCCTTTGATCGTCGGTCGCAGTTTGAATTCTATCTAGAAAGACCCCAGAAATACTCCCCACTTACTTACTCGCGACTGGGTGTTGGGACTTCGGATGAAAGCTCCGATTGGACTTTGGGACAAAACGTTTTCTGGGTGCGCCTGGAAATATGGGGTGAGCTTCTTTTTCGTGCATACTACTGCGAAAATAGTCTTTTCTATATTAGAATACCGTAACTCAACTCTTCGCAGTACTCTCGCCACATTATACACGGGTCACTGTGTGCCCTTCTCCTCCCTCACCAGCACTGAGCTCACAGCTCGAGGAGAGATTCTCAGATATAAGTACAAAGTTTCCCTAGGCTCTAGCTTCGAGAGCACTATTGGTGACACTCTTCCGCTAGATGAATCCCTTGCTCTTCTTGATGGTTTGGAAGAATGGTTCCGCTCAATCAACTGTCGAAAAAATAATTTAAAATAAAAATAAAAGTGCATATTAAATAGTGAGGCGCATGTTTTGAAAAAACAGGATGAGCCCCATCCCCGAGGGTCCCCTCAGACCCAGCTAGTCGGTCAATGAGAAGAGATAAATTACACTTTAATCGTAGATTGGTGGCAAAGAGTGTAGCATGCAACTAGTACTAGCAGATGCCCTATATGCTTAACATAGTTGCATCCTAGCGTAGTTGTCTAAAATCAAACTTGGGTTTACCCCTTTGGAAACCCTTGTCTTTCCTACTGCGCAGTGCCACCAGCAGGCGCATGTTTTAAGTTTAGTTGCATGGGGGAGCTAGGGTGGCAAGGACGAGGTGTATTAGGACGGGCAAAGGCAGATCTACAACATTTGAATCATGGGATCGTATTATAAAAGTTCATATCAAAAGTCACATTTCTAACACTATATACACTTTGGTTCCCATGACATTGGTTCCCAATTTCATGGGATGACCCGGGGACACTCCGGTGCCCCGTTCGTAAAATTGACGGTTCTTACCCCTTCTAACCCCCCGACAAACCCCCCCACCCCGCCCCGCCCCGAACAAACCCCTCCAGCCCCTCCAATTGCACCCCACAAGTCGATTTTGGGCTGGATCAGGTGAGAATGCACCTTGGTGAAAGAAATAAGAATAAAATCTAGCCTTTGGATCTGATGCATTGTGCGGCTTAGATTGCATCATGCGCTCATATTTTGAGATAATGCATTTTCAAAAGTTTTTGCTGCATTTCGACATGATGCATTTTTCAAACCATTTTGGTGCACCTAATTTTGATGCAATCCTGACCCTTAGATCTCATTATCTAAAACACCAGATTCATTCTTATTTCTTTCATAAAATCACATTCTCACCTAAACCAAATTATATATATATATATATATACATACATACATATATATATATATATATGTATGTATATATATATATATATATATATATATATATATATATATATATATATATATATATATATATATATATATATAACACATTAAAGTTAGTATATACCAAAGTCACAAAAATAACATTAAAGTTAATATACACCATAAAAGTCATAAATTAACAATATTCGTTCAATATAAATGTAAAATACATCTTATAATTGATAACATCTTATCCATATTTTATATTTTGAAACTGATTTATCATTTCATCATCGCTAATAAGAGCAAATACATCTTTCTGTAATTTGTATATAAATGCAATCATTTAACTATTGGTCACAAATTTTATTTCGAACATATTCACAAACTTCATGACCGAAGAAGAATGATAACACTAACAATTGTTATATTGAAATTTAAATAATTAAAAGCATTATAACATATCGTTGTCATTTTTACATATATACAATCTTACAATTACAAATCCAATTTACAATTCAAAAATGAGAAATTCAAAAAAAATAAATTAAAAAATTCACAATTGACAAGGGACGGAATTGAAATTTCAAACCCGGTCCCTTAGCTTGGGTTAGTAGAATCGTAAGGGATGCTATTTTTTTTTGGGGGGGGGGGGGGGGGGGGGGNNNNGGTCTACCCATCTATGATCTATGTGGTACATTAATGTGTTATCAATTTATTCTCCCTCCATCTAAAAAAGAATGTCATAGTTATTATTTCGACAACTCTTGTTTGTTTACTCCCTCCGTCCCACTGTGTTTGTCCACTTACTTTTTGGCACACCATCCAATGCACTTCTTTAATCCATTTTATCTTGTACTATCTCTGTCCCGCTATATTCGTCCACTTTTGACTTTTGGAACTATTCATCTAAGCACTTTGACTCATCAATTTCTCTAAATGCGTAAGCCTAAATATAGTCATGTGTGATCTTATTTGATTTGTCTTAACATATAGATTATTAATATATAATTTCTATAATTTTTTAATATACAAATTAGAAGATAAAATGGATTAAAGAAGTGCATTGGATGGTGTGTAAAAATGAAAGTGGACAAATATAGTGGGACGGAGGGAGTAATTTGTATATTAAAAAATTATACAAATTATATATTAATAATCTATATGTTAAGACGAATCAAACAAGATCACACATGACTATTTTTAGGCTTACACATTAAGAGAATTTGATGAGTCAAAGTGCTTAGATGAACAGTTCCAAAAGTCAAATGTGGACAAAGACAATGGGACGGAGGTAGTATTCTTTTTGGTTGATCGTTTGATAAAACAAAATATTATTATCTCATTTTGTTTGGTTAAATTTTTGATACATTTTTTAATGGTATAATTTTTATTTTTGAAACATTATTATCTCATCTTCTACCAATTTTAAAATAAAATGTAGGGAGTAACATTTAGTTGTGTGGAATGAAATTTGATTTTTGTGGTAATCCTGGAGGGGGGGGGGACCGGGGGAGTAATAAAAAAAAACTTCGGAAATAGCTTTGTGCAAGAATAGTTTTTCAAAAACGCGGTTGGGGGGAGTCAACAAAAGAAAGGGAGAAATAACCAATTTTTGGAGTTTAGTAACAGAGAGAGGGGAGGTACACTGCCGGTTTTGTCTCATCAAAAGGTTACAGACTTTTCCCTTACTCAGAGGATGATGATGACTAGCCACCCAATCACAATTCCCCCCTTTCACCAGCTGTTTTATGGGGATTTGTGGGCCATTTTCCAATTCTCATTCTTTGTGTCGTGCAGCGTCGGTCTTTTCCTTTACTACCTCCACTAAACTAAACCATTTCTCCTTCTGTTTTTGTTTTTTTTTTGTTTTAAATGTAAATTTCTTCTCATTATGAGACCAAATATACGAACTATGAGTCTTGGGGCCACGGCTGGCCCGGGGAGGGCAAATCTGATCTTTCGGCCCGGGCCCAAATTTGTTAAAATATTACTCTCTCCCCCTTCAAGAAAAGATTGCAACAACTTGAATTTTTTAGTCAAATTTTACATACTTTGCCCAAGAATTATGGTAAGAATATATTTAGTTGTAATGTAAATTTTAAAAAATTGAATTTTTTAAAATATCGATTTAAAATATCAAATTCTTATAATATTTAATTATTTTAAACTATATTTAATTCGTAGTCAATGGATGCCACAGTTTGACAAAAAATTCAAATTGTGGCATTTTTTCTAGGACAGAGAGAGTATATTCCCTACACCCTAAAATAATTTACCTGTTTATTAATATAACCTTTTGATATATTTCATTTCTTTAAATATTTTTATTAATAATTTGATAAAATAAAGTATTTTATCAACTCTTGGTTTGCATAGTTTTAGATGTCGTTTGATGTATATAATTTTTAGTTTTTATTTCTATACTAATTTGTAAATAAAATTATTTTAAAAATTACGAAATTTTACATGAGTAATTCTTATAGGGACGAAGAGTGTATGAAGGGAGGTTGTAATCTCACAGCAATTCAATTGGTGTGAGATCATGACACTGATTCAATTGGGACACCTAGGGACTAGGATGCTCCAATAGTAAAATTGACGTTTCACCCTAACTATAGTTTCGCCCTACTCCAGCTCCCTTGCCACACTTTGGATTGCCGATTTGATGTGCTCCAAATCGGCAATTCAGGATCGAGGGAGCAGGGGTGGAGCCATCGAGGTGAGCATGAAACTACTATGAAGGGCGGACCTAGAAGATTTGAACCATGTGGTCGAATTTTAGAAAGTTCATATCAAACCATAACATTTCTAACATTAAGTAAAAAAATACATCATAATATATAACACTTAAGTTGATATTTACCATAAAAATCACAAATTAATAATAGTGTTTCATTACAAATATAAAAACACATCTTACAATTGATAAAGTCTATTTTTCATATTTTGAAAGTGATTTATTATAATACATTTTCCTCCTATAACGAATTTCAAATAATTAAAAACATTATAAATTTATAACAAAACCCAAATATCTTAATATATTCCCAATCTTACACGTAGGCCGCACAAGAGCGCCTCATACTCCGCCTCGTTATTTGATGCCTTGAAGCCGAACC